TGTACCTCTGGTGCAAATTACTGACCTCTGTCATCATTTTAAGTGGGGGAACTTGCACAATCGGTGGCTGACTAAATACTTTTTTGCCCCACTGTACATAAAAAGTATTTTGAGTGCTCAAATTGAATAAGTACCAATATAGATTCCATATTTAGCAAGAAGATGGAGTATAAAATTTTCAAACAACATTAAGCTGCACCTATAAATTGCAGTGGGTGTAATTCATAAAGACACTCAAGTGCTTTTAAGTGGTGAGTAACACCAAAGAAATATTATTTCCCCCACCAAACAGAAGCCTAAAGTTTTTCTGAATACGTTATTCTAGGCTATATTATTTATTTAAGAAATGCTCCATATGTATTCGGGCACTTGTTAGTCAGTGCAGCCAAATCTCTAACTCCAGTGCCCATATGGTGTCACAGAGCCCCAACAGCAGGATTTAAGTGGAAACTAAAACCTAAAAGACCGAAACTCTTAAAATATAACAGTTAATTTAATTTACAGTGAAAATATTACAACTAAAGTTTTACAAATTTACGGCGATGATACTGGTTCCCAATGGACGGGTGTGGACAGGTTTGATATGGGAAACATGAACATCAATTCAAGTCAAAGTTTATTTATATACCACATTTTGAAACAACCTCTATTGACCAAAGTGCTGTGCAAGTTATATAAAATATACACTGTATAAAAACACTTGCTAAATTAACAATAAATATAAACAAAAAATCTAAAGTTTTATTTACTTGTTTTATTAATCAATCAAAGCTTTATTCGCCACATGCAGGTTGCCCTCCAGTGAAATGGGACACCCCCCCGAGCTTACGCACACACACAACACAGACATTACATGGGGATACAGGTCAGAGATCGGTAGCGTTACAGAAAAACACTGAAATGTACACTACAGTGGGAAACTACAAGAGGAAAAAAAGAGACCTCTACTCATGCTGTGCTTCCATGGTAGGACAGCATGAGAACAGGAAACAAAAAAAACTCCTCTGCACAAATAAAGCACATATATGTCCACAGCACAACTTTGTGAAAGACATGACAAGCCATAGGATTGGGTGGGGGGTGAGGAGTAATCCGAAGCGAACACAGCAGTCGCCCTGCACAGCGCTACCATTCCAGCGCGGCACATAGACCCACCGTGTTCCCCCACAGGAAACAAGCATCGAAGGCGTTTGGAAAGAGAGGGGGATGAGTGTGTGCTTATCAGTGTAAGTGTATGTGTGTGCGTGTTCATAGTTCAGCTGAGACAGTGTCCTTCGCCCTGCTAGGCTAAGTAAACTGTCTTCCAGCCAACCCAGGTGGCCTTGCATGGAATGGGAAGGAACAGACTCAACACAGTTGTTATCAGGGAGTGGTGTGACAGTCGTGCTTTAGCAGCGTTCAGGTCCCCAGGGCAAGCTTCAGCCTTGTGCATTCTTTTCTCACAGACTCTGTCCTGCTGAGAGAAACTGATGTTGATGACCGGGAATCTCTGGCTGTTAAGTTAGCCTTGGAGGAATAGCGACACTTGCTAGAGGGGGCAGAGCACTATTCATGAACTGGGCTTATCATAAGAATTTAAGATATCTCAGAACAGATAAAAAGGTTAAACGTCCAGCAGGCCTGCTGAGATTTATTCTTTGCATGCTTTACCTTCTCCATCTCCTACCACCCAGGGCCAAGGAACATCAAGCCTAATGCTCTCTCTCTCACCAGTTTGCCACCAGCATCAATTCCCCAGAGCGTGCCAGTATCCAGCTTGGTTCCTGTAAGGTTGGTGGCCTGGGGAATCAAAGACACCATCCGACACGGGGCAAGACCTCCCAGGAGGCAGTTCGTCCCTGCCTCCCCCTGCACCACGGTGCTCCATTGGAGTCACACGTCCAAGTTCTCATGTTATCCCGGCTTGAGTAGAACGATTTCCTTACTCAGTTCTCACTTTTGGTGGGATTCATTAGAAAGAGAAATGAAGGATTTTGTAGCTACTGGTTTAACAGAAAACGTTAAAATGCATGAAGTGATGGTGCTTTTTACTTCAGTGCGAACAGCTCATGAATTTCAAAGCAGTTCTACAGTCCAACACTGGTCTCTCAATCTCCCGTTGGAGAGCTGTGAGCTTCGCCATACTTGCGCTCTGTGATGTTGTCATTTCTTGTGCTCAAGGAGCCGATTCTGAGAACTCACGGCAGTGTGCCTCCCCAAGATGTCATCCAATTTGTGCCCAGAGATGTTATTCCGAGCGAGCCCTTCCAGAGATCTTATTCTGAGTATTCACAGCAGCCGTAGCCTCTCCAAGATCTTATCCGTGCTGACTCAATGAGCCCATTTTGAGAAACTCACGCCTCTCCCATCGTTCCAATCCCAGCGGGCAGCCTTGTGGGGGTTTGAACAGCTGGTTCTGCTTTCTTAATTCTTCGATAAGTCAGGGCCAAGCCAGCTCCGATCCGCCAGAACCCTGTTACCATGGTTCCGAATAGGTAGATAGCTTCAGCACTCAGGCTCACCCAAGCCCAGACTTCTCGTTGAGAAAGGGGTGTCAATTGCATTTAGGGACCAGTTGATCCAATTCTTTTAGGTTTTAGAGAACAGACTGAGAGAGAGAATGTTCCAGGGAAAAGTAATAAAAAACACGAGACAAGACAAGGACATGAGGAGCTAAACAGGGAAGATAAGGGAGAGAGGAGAGGAGAAAAAGTGCGACCGCCTTCGCTGAGAGCCAAACGAAAAGAGAATTAATTGCATGAAAATCACAGTATTCTGTTCAACTAAACCTAAAAGCAAGCAAGAACAAATGGGTTTTCAAAGTGTTTTAAAATGATTGAGAGACTGGACAGCTCCAGTGTGAAAAGGTAAGTTATTGAAAGATTAGGAGCCACCACAGGCTCTATTGCCTCTGGTTATAAACCTGGATAACAGAATCTCCAGGAGCAGCTGGTTCGTGGACCTCAGACATTATGAATCTTCATATTTCTGGGAAAATTTAGGTAAACAGAAACAAGACTGATCATGGGACAAATGAAATTTGGAGAGAACCTTTTTTGATTCAGTACATAATGGAATGCTGTTAGCGGACAACCACATCTTTTGACCTAGTTGGCAGGATGTATGTTTACAATTAGCCAGAGAAGCTTGGGCGGACTTTCAAAGGTGGCGGCAATGGCAAATATGGTGGAGGTCAGAAGGAACAGAGAGCTCACTTCCAGTTGTGTTTAAGACTGGTGGTTAATAGCCAGGGGAGGCCTCGAATGATGACAGCCTGGTGGCAGATGAAGTCATATTGTGAGGATACGCTATCTAGTATAGCTGAGAACTGTCTAGGATAGCTGAGTGGTTGGCGGAAGTGACACATCTGAGTGCAGTTCTTGATTTGCTAGCTCAGTTTGGCCGGTCTGCGGGTGGAAACCTTATGACAGTGACCTGGGGCTGCTTCACGGCATCTTCTGGGATGTGGTGAAGCCGGAAAAGCAGGGTCTGTGAGGACTGGCTGGACTCAAAAGCAGCGGTCTGAGCGGTCCTGCATTTGATTTAAAGCTGTTCTGCAGCAATGGAGGTTGATCAAGCCTTGAAAGCTGGTGCTAATAATTCCCACAGGTGTTCCAACTTTTCTGGATTACTTACAGCCCCATCTGTCTGCATAAAACCAATGTTGGAACTAGGGGTAGGTTTTGATTATCGATTTTCCGATTTTAATTGATTCTAGCTTTAACCTCCTAAGACCCAAACTCTTCCACGGCATGCATTTTTAATTTCTCTTTGATAATTGGGCATATTGGAGCCCGATGAATGTAAAAACAAAGAATCACCAGATTTATTTTTTTTTTACCCGATTTTTGTTACTAAGAAAAATGAGAGTCACGTATGAGGATATTCGTTTTAAATTTTGATGGAACAGTGGCAGTATAATGTCCTTGTAAGTGGATATCAGGCCCTTGTAGAGCAAAATTCAGTATTTTGGTCTAGACAACCCAAAATGCGATGTCCACATATGTGGACGCCAGGTCCTAGGAGGTTAATAATGTGATATCGATTCATTAAAATCATAAATCGATTTTTAAATATAAATTTATTTTACCCGAAATGCCAGAATCTCAGGTTGAACCTTACAAAATTTCGACAACCACCAAACAGCTTAAACAGTAAATGAGAGCAGGTACACTGATTCTGCACAAAGACGTAAACACAAAGCGTGGATCCACGGATCAGAATCAGTGAGCTGTTGGCTTTCAGCCCTGATGGCGTGTCCGTGTACGAGCACTCGGGTGAAAAAGCCGACAGCTCACAGATTCTGATTCATTGGCAGGTCCACGCTGTGTTTACATCTTTTTTTGCGCTTGATTCTGCTTGAAGCTGTAGGCTTTGTCTCTCTCCAAACAAATTTGACTGAACCAGTAGCAAAAGAAGATCCAAACTAAGCCTCACATTTCGCTTCACATAAACATCGTCATGAATTCTCTCTGACTTTTGCTGTTTTGCTTCCACCACAGTAAAATCACTTCCTGCAGAGCTCTCTGTCTCTCTCTGTACTTCGAGAATAGTTTCCCATCTAAAAACCCTCTTTTCTGCATTATTCGCTTGCTTTACCACACACCAATATACCGTTATGTACAGCGCTGTTGGCCGCTGTGTCTTTGTTTGTGTTTTTAATTTAACTGACTTCCGAGAACAAAGTCTAATTTCTGCTGTTCAATACTGAAGAAATTTTAACTTTTTTAAATTATGCAAAACTGCAAAACACTTGGCTGTGTCTCTAATAAAACCTCTAACTTTGCTCTGCTTCACTTCAGCAGCATCAGCTAATGTTTATATGTTGATTCATGGTTTTCTTCTGTTTTCGTTCTACTGCAGAAATTTTTTAAGGTGGTTATCTGCTATAAAAACACAGGCCAGGAAAATCTCCTTTGTGTTTTTCCTGTGTTTTATGCTCTGTTATGCTCTGTTACCAAAATGCTCCGGTACCTCTTGCCAGAGGTGAAGAGTGTGTGAGAGGGTTGTGTGGGGTCATCCACAATGCTGGTGGGTGCAACAAGTGTCTGTGATGGAGGGAAGAGGAGGCTTCGATGATCTTCTTAGCTGTTCTCACTATCCGTTGTAAGGTACTGTGATCCATAGGGTGCAGTTACCATACCAGACAGTGATGCAGCTCCTCAGGATGCTCCCAATAGTCCTCCTGTAGAAGGTGGTGAGAATGGCTGGTGGGAGATGGGCTTTTCTCAACTTCCGCAGGAAGTAGAGAGGCTGTTGGGCCTTCTTAGTTATGGAGCTGGTGTTGAGGGACCAAGAGAGGCTCTCTGCCAGGTGGACACCAAGGAATTTGGTGCTCTTGATGACCTCCACAGAGGATCCATTGATGTTAAGTGGACAGTGATCTCCTGAAGTCAACAATCATATCCTTTGTTTTGTCTACGTTCAGAGACAAGTTGTTGACTCTACACCAGTCTGTTAGTTCTTGTACCACCTCTCTGTACATTGACTCGTCGTTCTTGCGCATGAAACCCACCATAGTCATGTCATCAGTGAACTTGATGATGTGGTTCAAACTGTGCATCGCTGCACAGTCATAAGTCAGCAGAGTGAACAGCAGTGGGCTGAGCACACAGCCCTGAGGGACTCCAGTGCTCAGTGTGGTTGTGTTAGAAGTGCTGTTACCGATCCAGACTGTCTGAGGTCTCTCCGTCAGAAAGTCCAGGATCCAGCCACGGAGGAAGGTGTTCTGGCCCAGCAGGCTCAGTTTAACAATCAGTTGCTAAGGAATGAGTGTGTTAAATGCTAAATTGAAATCTATGAACAGCATTCGTACATACATGTCTTTATTGTCCAGGTGGGTGAGGGCAAGACGTAGGGTGGTGGCGATGGCGTCATCTGTTGACCAGTTGGGGCGATAGGGGAACTGCTGTGGGTCCAGTGTGGGTAGCAGCCAGCTCTTAATGTGCCTCATGACGAGCCTCTCGGAGCACTTCTTCGTGATGGGTGTGAGTGCAATGGGATGGTGCAATTAATGCTTTAACCCCAAGAAAGACAATGCAGTGGTTGCTAGTGTCAATCTTCCGAAATCATGCAAGCAGATTCATCCAGCTCACAAAGACGTACTGAAAACACCAAACACCACACTGGACAAATTATTTCATCCCCTACCTACTACATATATTTTTCTAAAGTGAAAAAACTGCAACATATCGCAGGGAAAATGTCACAGCTGAGGAATTTAGTGAAAGACTTTATACTTAGCTTTTAGGAGACGCACTAAGGCCAAGTGAATAAACACATTTTTCCATAAAGGTTCATTCATAAAGAATAATTTGCAGTAATGTAGCACAATGTAAAGGTGATTAGTGTCATAATTTTTCTTCAAGAGATATACTAAAAATAAAGATATCTTTGGACACAAAGATTCGTAGAAATGTGAAGACGTAAAAACACAACTTTATTGTTTTTGTCATTAAAAATCAATGAATAATCGTAACTAATGACAGATCTGAATACTGATCATAATAATTGTGATACTAGTTTTGGCCATAGTTGTCCAGCCCTACATTGTAGTATGAGTGAAACTTGCAAAAGGAATGCCAATTTCCACTTGACACCTGGTGCTCTGCTTTAGCCTGTAATATTAGTTCCTGATTGACCTTTACAGTAGCTACGCTTGTGAATGTTAGATAAAATGTTAGCTATGTTGTTTTTTCCTGTGTTTCACTGTGTTTAGAGTTAAGTAGTTCAGCTTTGGTTAAGTGTATCAGTTGCTTTCTTTGGTTGTGAGAGCTGTGACACCATGGGTGTAGTGGGTTGGAAACTTGTGTGAAGACCTGTGATGTGAAACCTCTCGTTATGACTATTAGAGATGATATCTGCTTTCCATAAATGTTGCAAATGCTAAAGTTTCAAGTGACGATTTCCATTTGAACATTTAGTAACTTAAG